CAACCCATATTTTTTTGTATATTTCTTTCATCTAATTTTTCCAAAGTCTATCTAAAAAGTTTTTTGCATATTATTTAAATTGAAAAGAGGTCTCAACTCATTGAAGTCTTCTTTTGTGATTAGGCCTCTGATCTATCTTTCTCTTCTACATAATTTTTCAGTTTGAAATCTCTTTCTTAGCATTGTTAAGACTTCTTTTTTGGTTGTCTCCATGCTTTCTACTTTTTTTAATTCAAGCAGGGTTGCTTCTACTACTTGCTTCTCTAAATCACAGAGAAGGTTTAGGGAAGTTTCGCAGCTCACCAGATGTTCTACATTCTCTTTCTTTTTTTTATATATAATATATTTGTCTGTCTTGTATGTTTCTGGTCTTCTTTGATTGAGTTTTTCAAACACCAAGAGTATGTTGTTTATATGCTTTATTTCAAAAAGCTGTAGTGTATTTGATTTGAAAGTGTGGTTATATTGTTTGGTTCTGCTCCTCATTATGTTGTGCAGCATGGACCAAGATTGAGTGCTCTTTCTTTCTTGATGTGTTTTATTATATATATTATGTAGAAAAGCCAATTCTGCTTTTAATAACACTCTCTCTAACATTTGATAAAAGAATGAATAGGCTTTTTAACTAGTTTACTTTCCCACATATACCTTACTTTGTGACCTTTTATATATAATGTTTCTGGGTTTAGGTACTCCATTGACTTAGAATCTTCTTTTGCTTTCAAATCTGCAAGATCATTGAATATATCGTCTGAGTGACCCTTGATCTTTATAAAGTGTGTATTTAGCTTCTTTGTCTTGATTACCTCTGCAATTGTTATTACCAAACCATAATTCTTAGTCTTTAACCATGGTCTTATCTTGTCTGTCTCTAGGCCTCTTTTGATTGCTAATATTGCTGCTTTACTATCTGTTCTTATCTCAACTCTTCTTTCCCGGGGTGTAGTTAGTAATGCGAATAATATTGCTACCATTTCTGCTCTTGTAAATGAGAACTACCTCTTTGTCGTACAAGACATTTGTTGCAAAAGCTGACTTGTTTCTGTGATTTGAATTACTCCACATCTCATTACTAATTTTTCTTCCTCCTCAGCAATACCAAGTGAGCCATCTGTATAAAAAAATAAACTATCTAATTCTCTATTTTGTTCCAAACTTTCTGCTATTTTAGATCTAATTATATTATTACGAACTATTCTATTAACTAGGACCATTTCCCAATATTTGCACTCTATATCTATTTTAACCTTTTTTTTTATTTTTTTTATTTTTTTTGCTTTAACAAGCACTTTCATTTTCTTTTTACTGACTACCTCTTCTATGTGTTTTTTTTCAAAAATCAACTTCATCCTCTTTTTTGTTTTCTAAACTATGCTTAAAATATCTCTAAGTTTTTTGTGCTTAACTATGTAAGATTCACTTTTTTCATCAATTACTAATAACTGCTATATTTTATTTTCATGACAATATGTTGTTTCTTTGTATTTTTCAACCTCTATATAAGCATTTTTTTTTCTTTAACCTTTTCTACATTAAGCATTGTATTTGCTTCATCTCTCTAACAAACTTATTCTTTTATTCTTTTGTTAGTACTTGGTTGTTTCATCTCTAAGCTAAATGCATTAACATTATTTGCTTTGTAGTTATATCTATTTTTGACTACTCGTGTACGAGGATTTTCTAGCATCTCTTTTTTTAATCTAGTGAATCAGCCTGCTTTTTTTCCTTTTAAACTCTTGCTATCTGCTAATTTGATTTGATTTTATGTATATATTGTTTTGCTATCCTTCACAATGAGTTGTAAAACCAAAGTTAGACCCAGGCTGCTTGCTTTCATTTCCTTATAAGTTATGTTCAAATGCTTAAAGACATATGCAATCTCTTCATCATTTGCTGTTTGTGTAATGTCTAAATTCCAACTCTTTGTAATTTCATTTTCTTCTATTACAAAACCCAAAATGTATACTTGTTGCAAGATATTTATATCTAAGTTGCGACCTTTTGTTTCTTCTTTTGCTAGTACATTAAAATATAGTTTAAAGATCCTGCTCTCAGCTGGCCTTGCTTAAGCCCTTTTGCCATCGATTCTTCTAATAAATCTGGTGTATTTAATCTAACTAGTAACTCTGATATATGATGCTTCATATGTCTATTCCAAAGACTTTTAAGGTCCATTATCTCTGGATGTTTTGTTATTATGTTCGCTGTCATAGAAGGTATCGACATTTTACATTTTATTAGACGAATTATTGGTTGGTGTATTCTCGCATACTGCGCTTTAGTTAAATATGAAACCATTAATCTATACTCTAAAGTAGATATGAAAATTGCATTGTTTACATATATGATCTAGTTCAAAGACATCTGTTTGTATTTGAGTAGGCCCGTGATTTTGCCTACTATGTTTTTTGCTTTGAATATATCAGACTTTTTTTGATTCTTGATTGACATTCAGACCTCTAAAAATTTTGTCGTTTCTTTAGAATCTTTTGCTATAATTCTTATTTTCGGATTGCCTATTCAGATTGCTAAGTCTTCTGCATGCTTCTTTTTACCTGGTTTTAATACTATAAGTTTAGTTTTGTTTAGATTTATTTCAATATCATTTAGCTTATAAAACTCTTGTACGATGTCAATTGTATTTTGCATGCTTTCTTGACTATTTGTCAACTACATTGTATTGTCTGCATATACTAACACTTCTATCCTAATATTTACTTCAGTGTTTTTTAAGCTCATGCATATTTCTGAGTTATGCATCTTATAATCTAGCTTGGCTTTTTGTACTCTACAAAGCAAAGGATTATAAAAAATTTTTCAAACCAATGGAGACAGTACCTCTCCTTGGTCTATACCATTTCCTGCTTTTATAAAGTCTGTATTTCCAAACTCTGTTATAACACTAAGCTGCCTATTCTCATAAAGCTCCATTATTATCTCGATTATTTTTGCTGAAAATTTAATTCTTTCTAAAACTTTTATAAATAAAACTATACTAACTAAGTCGAAGGCTTTCTTCATATCTTGAAACATGACCCAGAGCTCTTTTTTTTTTTCTATTGCTTCTTCTATTATATTGTTTATTATATAGATAGGGGTCATTATACTTTCCCCAAACAAGTCTGTGAAGTTTGCTTCTTTCAATATACTATTTTTGCTTAGTACTTTATTTAGCCTTATTTGGAGTATTTGTGTTAAAACTTTTCTGCATGTTTCAAGTAATACTATAGGTCTCGTATTATTTAGATTATATTCTCATGAACTATTTTTTGGAATTAAGTATATCTGATCAAGTTTCCACTTATTTGAAATCTTGCTTTGTTTGAGAATTGTATTTATTAATACTAAAATTTTCTCAATTACTCTGGGTGATAATTTCTTAAATAAAATATAGCCAATATTTGAAATTCCTGATGTTGTATTATTTTTAGTTTTGCTTAAAGCTCATGTTCATTCCTCTAATGTAAAGAGGTTTGTTATTTCCTTATATATCATAGAGTCAATTTCTTTTTTTGGCTTGTATTCTTCTTTCCATTCTGCTTTTATCTCTTTAAACTTTTGATTTTTTTTTCTAAATTGTTCTTCAAAGTAAAAGATTACTTGACATTTTACTTCTTCTTCATTATTAATCAATTCTAGATTATAAACTCTAGAATTCTCCCCTACAAGAACTCTGTCAATCGTGATTTTGTTATATAGTCTATTTAGCAGGCTTTGAAGCATTTTTTTTTATTTTTTTCTATTATACCAAATCTTAATTCTATTTTTTCCTGAATTTCACTTTTTTTTTTTCCCGCTCTTCTTCACCTGCTTTCTTTCTAAGAACTTTGCCCAGTTTTTTAGTTTTTTCAAATAAATTTGACTCCACTACTCTGGCATTTGTGCGATCTGTATTTGGTACAGTTAATTTATTTTATCAATTTTCTTATTTAAACTTTCTTTCTCATCAGAGTTAATCTTTATAAAAGGGCTTTTTTCACTTCTCTTTTGTAAATAATATAAGAACTTAATTTCTTTGTAAATTTCTAACTTTGGGATTGACTTTTTTTTCTGAGCTTTAGTTTTCTTAACATTAACTCAAGGTATGTGTTTTAATGCTACACTCATTATTGTGCTATTAATATTGTCTCATTTAACATTAATATCTGTAGATGTATTACATGGAGTTTTTTTACCTTCTTGTCTTGACTTTTGCGAAGAGAATGCACTCTACACATACACTATATGCCTTCTATTCTTCTGATAATGCCTTATGATTAGGGTTCGAGGCATGGAAGCATGCCGAAGGGCCGATAGGCATGCCCTAATCATGTGATATGCAATCAAATGATTGGCTAAAAATCATTAATACTATTTCGTTATTTATTATTTTATTATTGAGCTATTTTACATAATTATTTTTTAAAAGCAAAGAACAAAGATTACTTTTGCTATGTATGTATATTAATATACTTACAAAAATATACTACTTAACATTTACAAATTAAGCTTTATTAAATTATTTTGATAACAATAAATGTTATAATGCTCAATGTTTTTTAAAATCGGAACCTAATAAATACTGCTATTTCATTGCTAGTCACTAACTACAATAAATAAATATTGAATAGACAATCATTTACTATAAGAAATCTAAACTATCTGGGTCAGAATTCAAGTTTGCCAGGGTGACTCCCAAAAGTCCGGATCAAGTAATCTGCACCATAGCCACTGCATACTTTCTTAGAAAATTATCAAATTGTTTAGCTCTTGTATATAGTGAAAAATTTTTAAATACTGTATGAAACAAAGCAATGTATATACGTATGTGTTATTAAGATATGGCTGTGGTGTGGATCAACTGATCCAGACTTTTGGGGTCGCCCTGGTGAACTCTCAGAGTTTATAAAAATAAGAAATTCTAGGCTAGTTTGCGCAATACTAGCCTATCATCTCTATAATCAATAGAACTTACTAATAATATGCTATGACTTTATTAATAAATCTAGAGTAATGCCAGTCTATTGAATAAATAATTCTTGATAAATGTGTTAGTTAAGCCAAATACTAAAAATAATAATAATAATAAGAACAATGGATATCATATTTGTGCTAAATAACACCTATGGGTGTTATTTCAAGACACAAGTTTGAAGCTGAATATAAATTATAAAAACCTTTGGCTAAATTAATTGTCTCATGCTCATGTTCCAAAATAATACCCATGGGTGTTATTTCACACAAATACAGTAATCATTGAAAGTAATTATAAATGCCTTAAAATGAACTTATCTGTAAATCAAATGCGTTAAAAATATGCATATATGTATATATAATCATTGTCTTTGTGTTTCTTCCATATCTATAGTAATTCAATAATTATACAATCAGTTTATAAACAATATTTAGATAGAATAAGATAATTAGGCATATCAAAGTATTTAATAATTAAACTATATAATAATGATGATTTCTAATATAAATAGTATTAATAAATTATTAAATTTAAAAAAATTTCGAGTTTTGCTTTCTTACCAGTAAATTATAAACAACATGCAACCTCTCCCAGGTTTTGCTAAAATACTTCCCAGCCAAGACTGTCGATGGACTGGCTTTTGGCGGTCTGAAAACAAGAAATCTGGTAATAGATATACTGCTAAGTATAAATATTGTTTATCCGAGCTTGATGGTAAACCTAATAAGCTTCACCAGCACGTTACCAAATGCAATAGCTGGTTAGTTAATGATAGAACTAGCTATATTAAAGAAGTCAATAATCAAACGACTCCTGCCCGCAAGAGAGTTAAACATATCCAAGAAGTTACTATAATGAAGATAACCAAGAAAACTTAATAGTAAAGTCCGCAAAACAAAAAAATATCTTGAATTGGTGTGTCAGACCTATGCCCCATACTCAATCTAAAAAACTTTACCTAAAGCTCTTGTACTCTATTATCTACGGCAATTTTCCTTTTTACTTTGTTGAAAATCCTTATTTTCAAGATTTTCTTCAAGATTTAGCTCCAAGTTATCAACCACCTTCCGAAAGTATGATACGAGGACGTATCTTGACAAAAACGTTTTTTAATTGTCTCCAAGACAAGCTGTCTGTTATGTTAACCTTTACCAATGCTATGATTTGCCTAGATGGCTAGACAGATACATCTGGAAACTCTATCTATGGATTTATGATCCTTAAAGAAGATTAGGAACATATTATTGACATTATTGATCTAACTGCAAATAGACATAGGGTATTATTTATTAAAGATAAAACTAAAGAAACCCTTACTAGAAATTGCTTCTAAATGATATCTGCTATCACCTGCGTCACTAATAATCTCTTCATAATGGAGTCCATGAGAAATCTTTTGAAGGTATGACAAAAATAATATCAAAATAAATAAATAAATAAAAATAACCAAAAATAAAATAAGTTAGTTAATAAATAAATAAAGAATCAATAGAATAATAAAATTAAAAAGGCTAGTTGAGTTTCTTTTTTAAATTTGGGCACTTTATATATAAAAGCTTTTTCAGTAATTAGACGTGCAGAAATTGTCAATTATAGATAATATACATAGTTAATAAAATAATAATTTAGAATTTAAAGGATACAGATAGCTTTGACTTAAAATTAGAGCTTTTTTTTTTTTTGTTTCGATTTTTTCTATTTTAACTTTGCATTAATATATATTTATCATTAATATTATTAAAAAGTGTATTAAAGTATTTTAAAATGTATACTTATAATATTTATAGGCAGAGCATCCGAATATTATACCGATAAGATATTGCCTGCACGTATTCAACCTAATTGTGAAGAATATTATCAGATTTATCAGCACTAATCCTATTTGTAAAAAAAATCAAAAACTTATGAATTTTTTTACTGCCTCACATATATGGCTTCACACATTACGAGTTTGGCAGAAGGAACAAGACATATCTCACTTTTTAAGTACTTTGTAAAACAAGATGGTATTTTGTTTCCAAAGTTTGCTTAGGTGTATCTGCTTTTGAGAGAGGTTTTCAACATTGTCTTAGACTAAGTGAAACAGATAAAACAAAGTATCCTAAAATTAAGGATAACATCAAAGCGATTATTGATGATAGATACTATTTTGCAAGTAATGACACGTTAATAAAGATGATAAAACCTGTTGTCGATGCAATTGGAAGGCTTGAGTCAAGAGAAGCAACTCTGGCTAATGTTTTTAAGAAATTGATCTACGTGCATTTAGAAATATCTAATCTTGACATCCCTATAGTTGGCTTAAAAGCTCATGCACTCGCCGTTATTAGCAATAGAGCAAAAGAATTTAGTGATGATATTTACTTTGTTATCTTGTTTCTTTCTCCTACTTACAAAAAAATAGCTATTTCTAGGTATATGAATGAGGAACGTATTAAATGCGGATGTTTGGAATTAGCTAAAGCCTGAAAATTTATTAAAAATGATGCTAGTCTTCTCTACAATGAATTAGATTCCTATATAAATAATAAATCACTTTTCGATTCTCTTTCTAAAAACTCTCAGAAGCCTTCACGAATATTTTGGAAAGAATTTGCCAGCAAATCCTCTATTCTTCATCGCTTTGCTTTAAAAGTTCTTATGATTATTTTTTATAGTGCCGCATGCAAATGACTTTTTTCTTCCCTAGATCTTACAAAGACAAAGTCAAGAAACCGACTTTCTCCTGATATGCTTTTTAGACTTGGACAAATTAAAAATGAGCTTCAAAAAGTCATTCAAAAAAAAAAAAGATTAGACAAAAGAAGTTATCACTACCTGAACCCTCTGAAGAAAACAATAGTGATGTAGATAAAGATAATGATGAAACAGAAGGGCCAGATGAAATTGACAAAGATATTGATGAAGATATTGAATTTGTTAATGATGAATATGATGAAGCGTCCATTATAGATGAATTTTTTGATTTCGCTGTATTTGAAAGAGATCGGGAGGAGGTTTTGTCACTTGAAGAGACCCATGATTATTCTGCGCTGCAAAATTTGAATAGTGAAGAAGGCTGGTCTATTGAAGATATTATTTCTTAGATAAATAGTATGTAATAAAAATATATATACTTATCAAAGTATGCACTTATCTTATAAAAATTAATCTATTTCAGTATAAACAAAGATTAAATCTTATCTTCCGAAGCATAAAATATCCAAGCCTCCTTCATATATATTAAAGATTATGTATAATGTAGATAGGCAAAAAAAAAAAAGTTACATTGTATCGTTTTTTTAATAAATATAACCCACTTTTTTGAGAATGGCTCTTTAAAATCTGCGAATAAATATAATAACTATTTAGATCAAAAATAATAATTGAAGAGATTTATTTAGCAAAGCAGGCTTATTGTAATGTAATGCACAAATGAACATATTTTAAATTGCTTATCATATCGTTTGTCGAACATGCAACATAGAATTTTATTGGTTAAATGTCATGTGATCATGCATAATCGCGCATGATCTATATAGGGCATGCCCTGTAGGTATACTGGGCATGCCACGATTCAAGGCATGCCGATTTTTTTACCCATGCCTCAAACCCTACTTATGATATAAGAAAACTCTTCTAGTTAGTTTCTCTTGATTTCTTCTGCTGAGTTTTCTATATCCAAGTATTCTATTTATTTCTAATTTCACATATGCCATTTTGTGATCACTACCTGTTACTAAGTTAATATCTTTAATTGTAGCTTCATTGAGAAAATCTCTTATCTCTTCTCTAATCCATATATAGTTGATTCTTGAAACTATTTTATCTTTTTGTCAGGTATATTCTTTCTTGTGTGGATTTAAATATCTATAGGAGTTTATTATCTCTCTGCTTTTAAACTATTCAAGTAGAGTTTTTCCAAGCCCTTTACAGCCTGTGTTACTGGTATCTAATCTTGTGTTACATATTGGATTAAAATCTCCGAGTATGCTTATGTATATATCAATCTTATTTTTATATATTTCTTGTACTACTATATGTTGCATCTTCTTGTTAATTTTTTTATCTACTAGTAACAAATATATTATCTATATTTGTATGATTGCTTTTTTAAAGAAAAACTCTAACTTTAGCATATATAAATTAAATTTTCTAACTATAGCTAAATATCTTGACTAATTTTTACTAACTAAAGCCCCTACTCTTGACTCTTTTAATTTATCTATTTCTTTTGTTAACCAAAAGCTTAGATACCCAAATTCTTCTATATCTATCCATCTACTCTCTTTCTTGTTTATATTAGTTTCTGCCATCTCGATGATGTCCAAACTCTCTTCTTTATCTAAAGCTGCTAAATTTCTTAATTTTTGCCTATTTAACTTTAAACCATTTATATTATGAAACTCTAAACTAAGCTGCTCATAACTATTATTTTTTCTATTTAGGTTCTCACATTGTTTTTGTGTTTTGGGCTCTCTTGAGACAGAAGTGAGGATTTCTGCTATGCCTATTTAATTTGATTCATCTATGGTGTCTTTCAGAAGCGTATTGCAATTATATTGCTTTAAACTTTTGTTTTATTTCTGTCAGAATTTCCTCTAACTCATTTGCTTCTTGTCTTTTAATTTTTTTTCCTTTTGGCAATCTATTTGATTCTGTTGCAAGTTCTGATTCCTGAAGTATATTCATATTATCTATATTGGAAAGGGGCTTTCTGGTGCTACTTCTGGCTCATATGCTACTCCTTTCACTGTTTGTAAAGACTCCATTGGTGTGAATGATCTTTTTTGGGCTCTGATTTCTATTTGCATGTTGCTTGCATGTGTAATATTCACTTTTATGTATGCTTCTTTTTGTATATTCTTTTCTTTCTTAATTTTTTTTATTATCAAAATGGCAATTCCCTCCATAATAGTGATTTTTATCCCACCTCATTCGAAAATTATAATAATATGGATTTGTTGATTTTGCTTTTTGTAGATCTAATATTGATGCAAAATATATAAATGCTGCTTCTCTCTGATTGTCATTTTTGTTGTTTGGTATATATCATTTTTACTTTAAATTTGCTAAGTTGGCATAATAGTGTTGCTTCACATGCATTATGCAGCACTCCTCTTAATATAAGTTTAAATTCATTTCCGAGTCCTAGTTAAATCTGCCACTTGTTGTTCTTACTGTTTTTCCCATTTCATAATAAATTGCCTAAGCATTTATAAAGAGGTGCTTTTTTTTCTTATTTGTATATCTAACTTTAACATAAGCAGCT